TTGTTATATTATTAAATTATTATTATTATTGTATTATTAAATGTATTGAATTATAATTATTTTTTGGTAGGACAAGTGAAAATCTTTTCCAACTGGGATATTTGAAAAAAAAAATCCTTAGCATTTAGCCTTGTATAATTCTAAAATTTCCTTCATAATGGTCTTAAAATGGTCTTAAAAAGTCTTACATTTTTTAACTTGGTGAAACCTGCAGAAATTCTGTATTCAGATATAGTTTATTTATTGACCTACATTACATTTTCATTTAGTGTGCAATACAGATGTGTGTGAATGTAAAAGGTCTTCAAAGAGTAGTGCTTTTTGACATTTTAGTTTTTTTCCATTTTAGTTTTTGTGATACTTTTTGGCAAAAAGTTGTATTTTTTAAATATTTAAATATTCTCTCAGAACCTTCAAGACAAAACTGTCCCTATTTAAATCCAATAAAGCCACAATATTTCATGCCTCTGAAGCAAAATGTCACACAGGCTTCCTTTTAGGCTTCAAAATTTCAACAATTTGTAACAAAATTATAAATTTGTGATATTGTGGCACACTGTATTTCACAAGTTTGTTGGTCGAGCTAATATTTTTTTCCCTGCTGTTTTTTTTTTCTTTTGAGCACAACAAATAGGGGGGCGGGGGGTGGTTGGTATGGATATTTTAATATATTTTAATATTGATTTAAAATTTGTTAAATGAAAATGATGTGGTGAAAGAATATCGATAACTGGATGGAGAAATTCTCTTTTTGTTTCATTAGTCAGAATTATTAGCCCCCCTTTGAATTTTTTTTTTTTTTTTTCAAATGATGTGTAACATTTTCACTGTATTTCCGATAATATTTTTCTTCTTATTTTCTTCTTTTTTTCTGTCTTATGTTGGCTAGAATAAAAGCAATTTAAAAATTTTAAAAGCCATTTTAAGGTCAAAATTATTAGCCCCCCTAAACAATATATTTTTTCAATAGTCTATAGAACAATCCATTGTTATAAAATTACTTGCTTAATTACTAGTTAAGCTAACTAACTAGGCTAAGCCTTTAAATGTCACTTTAAGCTGAATACTAGTATCTTGAACAATAGCTAGTAAAGTATTATTTACTGTCATCATGGCAAAGATAAAATAAATCAGTTATTAGAAATTAGTTATTAAAACTGTTCTGTTTAGAAATGTGTTGAAGAAATCATCTCTGTTAAATAGAAATAGAGGAAACAAATAAACAGGGGTGCTAATAATTCTGACTTTAACTGTTTAGATGAGAAAATTTTAATGTGTCAGTGATTGAGGTAATTTGTCCTCAGTGAATGTGTAAGTTGCGTGAATTTGTCCTCAAAATGAGTTCTGAAAACACACAAATCACGCAAGCACCAGTATGTGTCACTAATAAAACGAAAGAGAATTTCTCCATCCAGCTATCAATATTCTTTCACCACATCATTTTCATTTAACAAATTTTAAATCTATATTCACATATCAGTCTCTTCATAGGAATTATCAGGAGTTGGAATCCACAAATAGTAGAGCAAGGTGCACGCAACTCTAAGGTTGTGGGTTCAACTCTGAGGGAAAGCCAAATGTATAAATGTAAATGAGATCTGGAGAGAAAGTGTCTTGATCCTTCTTCAAACACTGAGAGTGACTCAGACTCAAAGATGTGTTGAGATCAGGTGTTGCTGTGCTCATGAATGTCAGTTATAGAGTGAAGTCTGTCTCTGAGCTTCAGCACCTGGCAGTGAAAGAGGATTTGCATGCACCGTTACTGCCCTTCCAACCGCTTCACGACCTACACAAACCACTTACTCAATCTGCCCCTGCTGGTGCAAGCATAAGTAGCAGTTTTAACTGTTTTAGCCACGTTTCGCTGTTATTTAGTACAGTGCTCAGCATATCAGCATAATTAAGTACACCCCATTGTACTCAACATACAGTAGGCATTGTATTTGGTGCATTTAAACAAAATATATTTATTAAACAGATCTAAACAGATATTTATTAAACAGATATAAATATTTTAGTCACCAAACATATTGATAAATTGAAAAATAATACAATTAAATTTAAGTTAAATATTGCAAAAATAATTACAACTTACAAAATTTCAACTAATTTTTTCCATTATTTAGCTTTTCTTGCTTTTCCGTCTTTCTTTAAAATTTGTATTTAATATTTTTCTATAAGATATAAATTTGGATGTGCTATTATTTTGGACAATTATCGTAAGTTATTTTGTTAGATAAGCTCCAGATTTGGCTTTAGTACTGACTAATCTAATATGCACAAACATAATATTGTATAGTTTTCGATTCAACATATGAATTTAAAAGATACTTTTGTGAGGGGTGTACTTATATATGCTGAGCACTGTATGTAGGACTTATGACAATAATGAGTGTTTGAAAAGTCTTTTGATATGTCGTCAAATGATTCTTGTACTAAAATATGCATAAAATTTTTGTTAGTTATATAAAATTTATATTACAATATTCTTAATATTCTTACACAGAATGACAATTTAATTGCCATGCTCTGTATATCTTGCTAAAAATGCATTATAGTCATATTTTTTTGCTCAGATGCAAACAAATTAAACAGAACACATTTTAATCTATAGGGGTAAAAACTTGCATTACACTTTACATGATTGCTTTGATGCTCAAAAGACCAAAAGTGAACGTGCACTGTAAAACCCAGCAGTCAAAGTTATCAAATGAAATGAGTGTAGTTAACTCAAAATTTACTGATAGTTAATTTTACTTTGTTGAAAAGTTTTGAACTCAGTGTTGAAGGTAATGATTTAATTAAATATTTCATTACTTCAACTTAAATGACGTAAGTTCACAGTACTCATTAGGATTATTATTTTTTTTTTAACTCAAATGGTTTGTTGCAATTGGTTTCCTCAAACGGTTTGACTTGGCTTAACTTATTGGGTTTTACAGAACTCAGTTAGTTTAAGTTCTCTTCATTTATTGGGGTTTACTGTGCTACAATTGCTTCGTTTACTCAAATGGATTAAGTTCACAGCACTCATTAGGATTAAATGGTTTGTTGTAATCAGTTTCCTCAAACGATTTTTGATTTGCGTTTTACAGTGTGTAGAAAAATCATCTTAACACAGTTTAGACAAAGCTTTGGCTTTTTAACACTTAAAAAAAAAACATTTTATTAATAATTCTTCAATCACTACACTGTAAGAAGTGATTATTTATTGTACTTTAAAAAGGTGTGTAAACCCTTTGCCTTAAAAGTGACAAGTTGACCTGTTGTAAATTGGAACTGTTAACTCGATTTAACTTAATTTTTTATAACCATGCACATAGTTCATATACTTATTTTTTTAAGTAAAGCCAATGTATCATTTTAAAAGCAACAGTTATTGTAAGTAAAGTCAACAAATATTTTATTTAAAGTGTATGACCACAAAAAGGTTTAAATTATTTAAAATATAATAGAATTGCTTATGGTTGCATAATCATTTACATATTTTGGTAACACTTTACAACAAGGTTGTAGTCAATTACTAATATGAACAATGGTAACACTTTATTTTGATGGTCCATGCTTAATATCTGCTAATACTGCTCCTTTAACAGACATTTAACTGACTATAAGAAACTTTGCAAGTACATGTCAACTTATACTAACCCCAACCCTTACCCCAACCTAACAGTCAACTAATAATCTAATGAGAACTAGTTGGCATGTCGATGCAATGTAACTTAAATTCAACAAACGGACCATCAAAATAAAGTGTAACCCAATACATTAATTACAGTATTTATTATTCTGATAACTTTAGTTAATGAAATAAAGTTGATCATTGTTAGTTGTTGTAAACTTAATGCATTAACTAATGTTAATAAGCATGAATTTGGATCTTAATAACGCAGTAGTAAATACTGAACTATGATTAATACATGTATTTTCCATAATAAGTTCTTAGTGAACACATAAACCAACATTAACTAAAGAAACCTTTTTTTTCTTTTTTTTTTTTAATGTGACACAATAAGTACATGTCAGAATAAAATTTCATTTTTTAAATATATCTCTTGTCAATTGATGGAACATTATTTTACCCATATTTGACTTTTTTTTTTCACACGAGTTGTTTGAAACACTTACTTGCATTTAAAATATGCATGGAGTAAATACAACTTTAAAATAGGTCGACCCAATTTTGACCCAATAACTATTCGCTTAATGTGTGCTTTCTCTTTGTTTCTCTGTCAGTGTTACTAATAACTGCTTTTTTAGCCTTATATATTATGATATAGATACTTTGTATATGCCAGGAAATCACATATAATGTTTCTGGATTAATTGAGAATGGATGTATTTAAAGGGACAGTTCACACAAAACGACAATTTACTCACTATATACTCACCCTCAAGTGGTTCCAAACCTTTATACCTTCTGTTGAACACTAAAGGAGATATTTTTTAGAAAGCTGAAAACCTGTAACCATTGACTTCCATAGTAGCAAAAACAGATATGGAAGTAAATGGTTAGGTTTTCAGCTTTCTTATAGGCCTATATCTTACTTTGTGCTTAACAGAGGAAAGAAACTCATAAACATATTTTGTGAATTATTGAAAGTATTCAAAAACTATTTAAGTTAATGCACACATTATATGATACAAGAACATCTTTAGTTTAAATATTGAAACAGCACTTCACTTACTGTTTGTTAGTCCCAAAGACATCTATTCAGCTAAACAATTTTAAGCATTATTATTATTATTATTATTATTATTATTATTATTATTATTATTATTATTATTATTATTATTATTATTATTATTATTATTACAACGCGCTTTACCAAACGTTGCCAAAGTCCAAAGTGCTGTGCTGATAAGAGTGTGTAAACACGCAGTACCTGCGCATCAGTCGATATGGCCTGGGACAGCTCATTTGCATAAAGGCCCTCAGCAGCCGCCCACTCATTACCATATTTTATATCGCCTGCCCTCTGGAAGCATCATGGCAAGTTATATCGTTCAGTCCGACAGGGAAGTGGCCTAACCTTCTCGGAGCAGGTGTCTTTGGAGGAGCTCACACTTGGAGGCGTGAGGAGGGGAAAGATCATAATACCGCATTTCCCTCTCTAGACCTCCTAAATATTTAGATGTTTGCAAACATGGTGTCCAAGTTGACATCTTTGCAACAGGAGCTTCTGAGCGCCTTGTTGGACTCTGGAGTTACCAAAGATGTGCTTCTGCAAGCTTTGGAGGACCTGGACCCGAGCCCGAGCGCTTTTGGAGTTAAACTGGACAGTCTGCAGATGTCCCCGTCCGGCTCCAAACTCAGCGATACGGATTCAAAGCCGGTGTTTCATACGCTCACTAATGGACACAGTAAAGGGAAGTTATCCGGAGATGAAGGCTCCGAGGACGGGGATGATTATGACACACCGCCAATTCTCAAAGAGCTCCAGTCTCAAAACACCGAGGAAGCGGCCGAGCAGAGGGCAGAAATAGAGCGAATGTTGGCGTGAGTTTTTACCTATTTACTTTTATTTTTATAGGCCTAAATAATTTAGATTTAAAGTGGATCAAAAACTATACTTTTAAAAATTGGCCAAAAGAATTGATGTTGTTGAATAATTTTAGGACAACTATGAGGGAATTTATGATCCTTTAAAATGTTGAACTATAGGCCTACTTATGTTATTATAAAATATAGGCTACTTAAAGTTACACTGTTGTTATCCATTGCTTTATATACAAGTTAAAGAGATTAAAGTGAAATAACCTGTGGAGCTTCTGATCTGACAGTGTGCTGCTATAATGTATTTGAAGGCCGACTGTTACGTGTGAAATTAAGGCCGTTGAAGCAGCTGAATTTTCCATTAAGATTAAAGTGCTTATTTATTCACCCAGCTAGTCATTAAATTTGACTAAAATGTAAAATGTTCTTTACCTGATATAAAAAAAAATCTAATAGAAAAGTTTCATTGCTAACTTCTGATCTTTTAAATCAAAGGTCAATGAGATGCGTACAAAACTTGTTATTTGACAAATGTAATTACTGTCTGAAGTTCTTAAAATATAGCGGAATTATTTTGTGACAGAAATAAAAATCGTAGCCTAGTTGTAATTTAGAAACGAAATATTTTTTTCTTAAATAATGCAAAGGAGATTATTTCGGGACAGATTATTCTACCGGTGTTTACAATTTTAAAAGCACGCGCCAGTGTTTCCTCTTTTCACATTCTGGTTACTAATTATCTACGTGAGTTATTTCTTTAGCTTAGAGATATATCAACTAAAGAAGATCTATTTATTATTAACCACCTCTGGCCTCTCGAAAGAAAACACAAACATGCGCGCTGTTGTCTGAATGCAGGCTTGTGCGTAAATTTAGGCCTTTTGAAAAAAAAATTTAGGATTTGCGAAAATACTGATAATATATTTATTGTATTAATATAGCACTTTTAGTTATAATATTTTGACAATTAGAAATGATAACTAAAATAGGCCTACCACGCGGCCAATAAATAAAAGGAGGCCTATGCTATAATGTGGATGCTATTTAATTCAACAAGAATATTATTTCTATAATTGTTACACCGTCAGAAGCGCCACGAAATAGAGGAAAATCAAAACTAAAGCACGTGGAGTTGAGTTATTAATTTTATCCTATAAATCATCAACTGAAAGATACACAGTGACGAATGATTAGCGTGAATGGAGATCTAGTTATTCATTGTCGAAAGTTATAAACCAAGTTCGAGCACAGACATATGTGTTGTCAGTATCCAAACCAAAACCGTCCGGACAGATTTCAGGAGCAAAAGTTATTTCTGAAATTAGCTACTATGGTAAGACTGAACTTTATTTTAATGCATGTTAAAATATGTCGGGTGAAATTCGCTTTCTTTCTTTCTTTCTTTCTTTCTTTCTTTCTTTCTTTCTTTCTTTCTTTCTTTCTTATTTTTTATTTTAAAGTCTAAAGGTTTAAAGTAAAGTTTTGTTTTATTTAACTTGATTATAAACTTAACACTCTTTTTCATTTTTTTTAAAAGTGGCCAACATATATATATATATATATATATATATATATATATATATATATATATATATATATATATATATATATATAGGCTTGGTTTAAATATAGCTTTAATGTTTGGCCATATGTTTTAGAATATTAAACATTTTTATTTTTAAGCTTTTATCCTAGCCTATAATATCGAAGTTAATGTTTTGTTTATTACATTTAATTAAGAATATAGACTGCTGCGGCTTTTAAACGGCTATGTCTTTGTCAAATTCATTGGTTTCTTTTAATAAAATTTTGCTTTGATTTAAGCGATTTTTTGTCTTACTCAACATTTCTCTTTTCTAAAATACGGAGCAACGTTTAAAATGTCGAACTACACTTTAGTACCTTCTTTAGATTTGAAACAAATTGCTTTACAGTGACCACAATATACAGCTGCCATGAAGTCCTCCAATTGTCTTTTACTTGTCCTTTTGTAATTAAATCACGGTAGTTGAATTGCACGCACGAAATGAAGTCTTTAACCTTTGGAATTATTTACAACCCATTGAATACACTGATTAACTATTGTTTATTAGCGCTGGGAACAATTGACCGCACTTGCAAAATTTAGAACATGTTAAAGAGTGTCATAAATATAAAAGAAGCGAAACCAACCATTAAACACAACTTTTTTAATAGGACTGTATTAAATGAGTGTTATGTTTAATGTTTCCGATCTTTTCAGGGAGGACCCGTGGCGCGCGGCCCGCATGATCAAAGGCTACATGCAGCAGCACAATATCCCTCAGCGCGAGGTGGTGGATGTGACGGGCCTGAATCAGTCGCACCTGTCGCAGCACCTGAATAAAGGCACGCCTATGAAAACGCAGAAACGCGCGGCGCTCTACACCTGGTATGTGAGGAAACAGCGGGAGATCTTGCGACGTAAGTTAATATTTGTTTCTTGTTGCATGTGACGGTTTTCAGTGCCACCGTTGGAATTTTGTAGGTCATATAAAACGTCCTTGTTCAGTTGCATGAAATGGAATTTATGACTCGAGTGTGGCAGCACTTTAAACCTGATTTTTTTGGGGAAGTTAATTAACCTTTTGATGTCTGTTTGAATTATGAAGATAATCTAAAATAAGTTACCTTCTAAATAATGCACCTGCGCGATGTGTAGATATTGATAAACATTTTTAGGTGCGTACTTATTGCATCATCGCTTTTGTCACCCATTTTGAAATTATGTTATCATAAAAAGCACAATGGCATATAAGGGGACAGTGGTATGAATCAAAGGTCATCACTCATTTTTTCTGTGTAAGATCGACAATATGATATTAGAAAACATAACTAACATTTTGTTAAATTAGTGGGGTTAATTTGTACCTCATTCTCATTTTATTGTTTTAAAAATTGCATTGCATAAGGCCAACTCTAAATTTTCTCAACATTTACTCTTACACTCCAAAAATAACTCATAATTGGATAAACTTAAATTAATTCAGAATTCGACAAGTTTGTTTAGCACCAACTAAAAAACAATTTACACAATAAAATGCAATTATTTTATCAAATAAAAGTTTAAATACAGTTGTATTTTTATTTTTATTTTATTAGTCTTTGACAAGGCTGGGATGATTTTAAATAATAACACCTGCTCATGGCACACTTGTCCTACTTTGCTCATGTACGGTGGCCTGGAAGTGCAAAACAACATTACCAAGTGTAAAACACTTTTACATAGCTCAAGACAAATTTACATTTTGAAAAACATTTTTAACTATCATCAGACACAATTACATAGGAAAAACAATTTTACCAAGGACGAAACAAATTTACATTTTAGAAAAAATTTATAAGATCCAAAACACTTTTACAAGTCCCAAAACAAATGTACAATTACAGATTCCTTACGGAAAGTACAACACACCGGAAGTGACGTGGAATGTACAACACACCAGGAGTGACCAGGAATGTAACACACACTGGAAAATATCAATAATATCTAGCTCGTGTGTGATTTTGTAGATCGGTTTCCATGAGTCTACAACTATAAAAATCATGGTTTGACCAACTGCAATTAATAAATATTAGAGCTATTCTGAGAAAATATCAGCATGAGAGTATGTAGAAACATGTAAACCCAAATACATGGAAACAATCAAAGCACGGCACATGTTGACTGATAAAGATATCAAAACCTACCCTGACCTGTAGACCCGGGTAGCTCATTTAGGAAGGTTGGTAGATACTTGTGCAGACCCTTTTGACTTGGGTTTGAATCCCGTTGATGACATATAAATTATAATTATTTCTTTACATTAATTTTGATTAAATACCGTTCTGCTACACAGATATTAAAGTAATAAGAATCTTTTTTCGGTATGGGCATGTTTTGTGGCTGTGAAAAAGTGACGAATATGCCAATCTGCAAACGTGAATAGTTTACATCTGAAAAAGGGCCTCATTTAACACGGACACCAGTTAAACCGTAACACCGTCTTCATTCAGTTTACTGTTAAGAGTCCTCAAGCAGATGTTTACACCGTGTAGACTTGATATCATGTCCATGATAACAGCGTACGAGTGGCCCTCGTTAAAATATTGAGCACATTGGTGCAGTATGTCTGGTATTTTTGTCTGGTCCGCATCCTTTATAAACTCCAAACACCGACCACACGTAAAGAAAAACTGTGTTAAGCTGCTCATGTGTATGCCACAACACAGGCAAAACAATCCTCGACGCTGTCCATGTTCGGTCACCATAAACTTTGTTTGCGCCATGCATGTACTCTACAGCACAAATTTACATTGGTACATTCCCTTTCCGTAAGGAATCTGTCATTTTAAATGTGTTTCGGGACTTGTAAAAGTGTTTTGCGTCTTGTTAATATTTTTGGAAAATGTAAATTTGTTTCGTCCTTGATAAAATAGTTTTTCCTATGTAATTGTGTCCGATGATAGTTAAAAATGTTTTTCAAAATGTAAACATGTCTCGAGCTTTGTAAAAGTGTTTCACACTTTGTAATGTTGTTTTGCACTTCCCGGCCACAATACTCATGCTATGCTCATGTCCTATATGAAAATTCTACATGTGACGCTAATAACCTTTTCTTTTATGTTTCAGAATTCAACCAGGCCACACAAGGCTCTGGCGCCACCATGTTAGACAAAGGAAATCAGGATCAGGTACTCCTTTTTTTCTCAGAGTTTAGTCAGTCTGGGCAAGGTATGGTCCAGCCAGGTGATGATGCTGCTATTGAGCCTGCTTGCAAGAAGCTCAGACGCAACCGTTTCAAATGGGGGCCTGCATCCCAACAAATCCTTTACCAGGCTTATGAGCGGCAGAAGAACCCCAGCAAAGAGGAGAGAGAGGCATTGGTGGAGGAGTGCAACCGGTAAGATGACCTTGCTCTGATTGTCAAAATAAATTACTCAATTTCATCCCAGTTAATATGCTAATGTGTTTTCCTTGACTACATTCAGGGCTGAGTGCCTCCAAAGAGGAGTGTCTCCATCGAAAGCTCATGGACTTGGCTCCAACCTGGTCACAGAGGTGCGAGTCTACAACTGGTTTGCTAACAGAAGAAAGGAAGAAGCCTTCAGACAAAAGTTGGCTATGGATGCCTACAGTGGGCCAGCGCATAGCCTAAACTCCCTCCTTTCACATAGTTCCCCGCATCACCCACAAACTAGCAGCTCCCCACCAAGCAAGATGCAAGGTACTGATACATTCACTGTGAGCTTACATGTGTTATTTGATTCTTCCTGGTAACCTTTGAATGTTGCTTTGAGTCAGAAAATAAAATCACTGAGCTTTGGCTTTTCTGCGGTTTAGTCTAGAAAGAATAATTAGCACAAGCCCCATTATAATCACTCCACCAGTTAAAGATGACTTGACATAGTTGATGAGATCAGAGGGAAAGCAAAGAGGAGAGCAGTGATCAATGAGAGTGACAGAGTGAGCTGAGCAAATGGCATTGTTATTCCCAGCTTTGAAACACACACCAAGAACAATCTGCATTGTACCTGCAATCTCAGCTCCACTGAAGTCAGCAGGCAAGAGTGAGACACAAAGAGCAGCCACCCTTGGACAGGACACAGGGTCAACCCCAGGTCATGTGGCTCAGCTCGCTCTCGAAGCCTAGTTGTACCTGTAGGGTCACTGTGGTTTACTGCATGCCCCACTCTTGTGTTATCTAATGAATTGTATTCCCAGAAGGATTTATTGACTTAGTTTGATATGGCAAGACTAGGCTGTAAAAGCAACACAGTCTTTGACCGACCAGCTTATTACCTACTGTTTCTTTCATGTCTGAGCGCTAAAGAGTCAGAGTGCTCTTTTTCTGTGGGTGTGTTGCTTGTTTCTGTGCATATAGCACTGCAATGAGTGGCTTGTCTGTTTGCGTGTGGTGTTTCCCTTTGCACACCTGACCAGTCAGTGACCTCAGGTTGTGTGTTAATTTGGTTGAGAAGGGGGAGCAACGGGATGGAGTTGGTCTCTTCCATGCTTTTAGTCAAGGGACTTACAAGGTGTCCTGCCAGTGGCCTGCCAGCAGCATCAGCTGTTTTTGGTGTCAGAAGCTGGCCTGAAAATAATAGCACAGCAGGACCCCTCATCACGTTGCCAGGGCACAGCCTGTATTATGCATGCTTAATTGACAATTAAAATCCTCTGCTACTACATCTCCCAGTCCTTTGATAAGGGACTCCCCTCTTCCCTGCTCTCTTTACCTTCTCTCAGCAGGGAATCTTTTTGTCTATGGCATATTAGAAGACTGTAGTGACTGTAACCAAGGTTCATTTATCTCTGCTGGGCCAGGGGGAGGGACACCTCGAAGCCCCTCTCACCTTTATGGGCTGTGGTTTAGAGGCAGTGGCTGTGCTCTGAGCAGAACAGCAGGAGCTGTCCGATGGACTATTGGCTCTTTTTGGACCAGACAGGACTGATGAGTCTCTTCTTCTGCTCGAGGTATAGAAAGTACTGGGTGATTCCCTGTCTCAGCCCCCTCTTGGAAACTACATAAACCAGGGTTTTGTTAAAGAGGTCGTTACCAGGTCACATCAGTGAGAGACTTAACTTTTTTTATTGATTCAGGTTTGGCCTGTTGATAACAAACAGGCCAGTTCGCCGCCATTAGAAGGTCAACTGATATGTGCGTTTTGGGGGCTGGTTGTGGTCTTCCCTATGTTTGTGTTGTCGTCCTGTTGGAAAGCAAACTGCTTTCAAAATGGTCTTTGATCCTGTTTAGGCATGTTAGAATGGTTGTTTAACTAGCTTATATCATTTTTTGAGAAACTAAAATGATTAATTAAACAATATGACCCCTGAACATAATAGTGAAGGACAAGCAGAGGACAGGACAGTTTAACTTGTCTTGTTTTGGACTGTTGGGGGCAATAGAAAGGCTGAAAGGCCACATACGTCCTGCTAAGACCCAGGAGGCCTATCATATGCGGCAGTGCTATAATGAGCACTGCCTGGGGATGAAGAGCCAGGCTTTGATATTACATGTGTCCCAGGGAGAGCTGAACCCTTTAAACCAGTTGAACCCTCCTGCTTCCACTCCCCTTCAGCATTTCCCGCAACCCTCTGTCATTTTAACCAAGTTTTGTGGTAGCATTTTTTTACAGGTCAAACTGTATTGTGTGATTACCACAAGCATCATGAAACCTGAAAACAAATTTTTGAGTAGTGATAAGCTGAAATTTTTTGCCAATATGTAACTGTTGTCTATACTTAGTCAAGACGCTAATTTTAGCATTGGTCACTGAATGGTGCACATTGCTTTACTGAATAGTGTAATTAAGACTTAGTTTATGATGCCATTCCATGTAACTTTTATGTCGCGTTCTCAGAGGTTGTACATCGGTTTCTGGTTTCCTCAGAAACCGAGCCCTCCTGCTGGTCAGCATGGCCCAGACAGCACAGACCTGAATGATTGAACGTGAGAGGAGATCCCTGCAGTCTGAGTGAATGCCTGATAGAGTCAGACAATAGTCTGTTCTTTCCCTGACACTTTTAGTGGTTGTGCGGTAGTAAAGTAAAGACTGTTTATAGTTGCTGGCCTATTGTGTGCCAAGCAGGTTGTAGGCCCAATGGAGTGCTTTATTGTCCTGAGCTGGCGTTTACAAGACATTGTAGAGAGCTGGCAATGTTTTAAGTGTGCAAAGGGGTTGTATCTGTAGTTCCGCTACACAACAAAACTCAGCAGAGGGATTAGACTTTTCTGTCATTTTTTTTTTTGCTGCCACTAGCTTTTTTAGAAAAGCTCAGGGAATAATCCCATAACAAATGATAAATATTTATTTTGGCTGGGTCATCATCTCGCTTGGCTGCACAAACCTAGTATTTAAATGTAGGAGTGAAACTATGTGTCTGACATTAGCCTTAATTGAGAAATGTTTACCTTGTTCATATCTGTGGAGCGTGGGGTTGGCAAACATCGATTCGATAGAAGACAGGCTGGATTCCTGTGGCCTTCAATAGTCAAGAATACCCAACAAAATAAATAGCCTAAAAGAGAATTCAGCTTAGGTTGAACATAATTCTCTCATAAAACTTAATTTCATGTAGATCAGGAATGTTCCTGCAGTATGCAGCTCCTATGCACTTTGCTTGAAATTTCTTATATTTCTAAAAAAAACTATCTAGTTCAAATGTGTTTAATGCATGGATGTCCAAACTTGGTCCTGGTGGGCCGGTGTCCTGCAAAGTATAGTTCCAACCTAATCAGACACACCTGGGCTAGCTAATCGAGCTCTTACTAGGCTTTCTAGAAACATTCTTGCAGGTGTGTTGAGACAAGTTGGAGACAAAATCTGCAGGACATCGACCCTCCAGGACCGAGTTTGAACACCCTTGGTCTAATGGGACAGGAGAAAAACTCTGCTGAAAGGGGGCCCTCCAGGAGCAGGATTGTGCAGCACTGATATAGATTATTTTAACAAAGTTCTGAAGTTCAGCACAACATAGTTTTTTAGAGTTGCAGACAGCTAACGTGTACACATTGAGATGACCTTGACCGTTCAGCCACCAGATGTAGAGGCCCTTGTTTGTTTGCTCTTCCAAACTTGTCAGTGACCAACAAATACTGGCTGGGTCACATTTTGTAAAGCAGTTAGAAGATTAAAACTAAAACTAATTTATCTCTTCCTTCCTTTACAACAGGTGTCCGGTACAGCCAACAAGGTCCAGGTGAAGTCAGTTCTTCAACAACGATCAATCACCATAGCAGCAATGCCATGTCAACCAGCCAGTCAGTGTTACAGCAGGTCTCTCCAGGGGCGCTGGACCCCAGTCACAGCCTCCTGTCACCTGATGCCAAGATGGTAAGCACTTCCAACACTGATAAGATAACACTATGTCTGCTCTTGACACAGTAACACAAAGTAGCGCTTGATAGATATCTTCACCCAGCAAGTGGGCTTACAATTGCTGCATTGTACTTCCCAGTGCTAAACCCAAAGCTAGACGGCAGGCCTTGGCCCACAGTGCACTGCAGGGCTGATCTTAGTAAATGTTAGCTGGTGGTAGTGAGAATGGGGCACGGCCATGGCTGTTCCAACAAACCTGACAAAGAGACATTCTGTTTGTATTGATTAAATGCCGCGCAGAGGAGAGGAAGGGTGGAGTTGTGCTTGTTCTCTGTTGGTTGAGTGACACTGGCGCTCAATGGAGTTGCTTATCTGAATACTAATGTTTGAGTTGGGCGAGATCTTCATGTAGCTTTTTGTTTCAGGACAATTTTCTGTGCATTAATTTTTCTAGCAAGGCTGCAGTGTTACACTATAGGTCAAATTCATCATGGTCTAGGGTGCGTTTCTGTCAACAGCCAGTTGGAAGTTGGCGTAGGAGGAAGGGAGTATGACAGCAGCTTATCTGAGCAGTCAGACGTTTGTCTGAGCATGGCCTCCTCTCAACTCTGCCTATTCAAATAAAGCTCTGTGCCTCCTGTCAGGGCTCTGATACTTTCTTAAGATAAGAGTACAATTCTGACAGAAGCGTTCTAGTCATTCTGATGAACTGGTGGTGTATTTTCTTCACAGATCTCGGTATCAGGTGGAGGTCTTCCTCCAGTAAGCACCCTGACCAACATCCACGCATCCCACCATGTGCACCAACAGACCCCTAACCTTATAATGCCACTCTCTGGAGTCATGGCCATTGCACAAAGTGAGTGTCCATCCATATTTGGTTTCCTTTTCAGATTATTCATACATTCTCCTCTTGACGTCGTAATATTCTTGCATTCAGGTTTGAACACATCGCAAGCACAGACGGTGCCTGTCATAAACAGTGTTGCAGGCAGTCTGGCAGCACTGCAGCCAGTGCAGTTCTCTCAGCAGTTAAATAGCCAACACCAGCAGCTCATGCAACAGTCATCTGGACACATGAGCCAACAGTCCTTCATGGCCTCCGTCTCACACTCACACAGTCAGTCTACTACCTCTATTCAGTATTTATTGATCTAGTCAGGCCTACATCATAAAGCTGTAGATGTAAACTGCTGTTTGTGTTATCTTTACAGTGTACCCACACAAGCAGGAGCCACCCCAGTATTCTCATTCGTCTCGGTTTCCCCCGGCCATGGTGGTGACAGACGCCAACAGCCTCAGTACACTGAGCTCAATGTCCTCCAGCAAACAGGTCAGTAATTCAAATTATTTACCAAAATGGACTTGCTGTAGCCAGGCTGATTAGTTTATTTAATGGGTGGTAGAGTCTGTCTGCTTGTCCTACAACAGGGGTGCCCTTTTGGCTTCATTAATGCTCCAGAGATACGATTATGTGGAAAGACACTTCCAAAGTGAGCAGAATAAGATTTCTAGAGTATGCTAGATAGGACTGATGTTGAGTTTTTCACTGCTTCAGTGTCTTTTGTTTAGCTAGGTTTGTTGTACATCTCAATCAGTGAAGCGAACCAATATGTGTAAACTCCTTAGAATTCCTATTTCCTTTGAACAGCTTGACCAATCAGTCACCCGTGATCGCAGACTGAGCACGGCTTGATTGATGAAACCAACTTTCTCGTTTCTTTCTTTCTTTCTTTCTTTCTTTCTTTCTTTCTTTCTTTCTTTCTTTCTTTCTTTCTTTCTTTCTTTCTTTCTTTCTTTCTTTCTTTCTTTTTTCCTTTCTGTCTTTCCTCAATCTGAATGCAAAGTCACTCTTTGGTCCAGTTTAGCACAGAGGTCAGGAAATTATCCTCACTGTTAATCAAAGCACTCGTGCTCCTTCAGCTCCCCTGCCATGGACGGGAGTGTATTCAGTAATTATGCCTCTTCCCTTTTCCCCTGCGCTCTGTGACCGCTCTAGCCTGAAATGCGGTCTCCAGTCACCGCTTTCACATGCCCAATTTCCCACGCTGCCACATCACTAGCTGCGGTGAACCTGATGCCTTGAACTTCCTGCCAGCATGAGCTCCTCTTATCAAGATCTAGTCGCTAAAGATACTTTCATTTGCATTTACATCTTTTAGGGACCTAAAAATTTGAAAACTGGTTTTAAAATGCTGTAAATGAGATGAAAGAACAATCAAAGAGATGATTCTGTGAAAAGTTGAGGCCATTGCATGTTAATTCTAAAGGAAAGACTGAATATTAGACAACCAAAACAATAATGGTGGACTACTGAACTGTATGTGCACATGCACATAGTGTTTCTTTATGAAGTGAAATCAGCAACTCGCCAACCTGATTTACATACTGTACCTGCCAACACTCTCGTTTTTGCCGGGGGTCTCCTATATTTCTGACCCATCTCCCACCCATCTCCCGTATTGTTCTGTCTCCCGGAAAACTCCAGGAATTCCATCTTATGGTTGGGTTTATGCTCTTATACATGATCGTTATCCAACTATTATTCCCCTCTGATTTTGGGAATAATTTACAGTTATGGTTGGGTTTAGGGGTAGGGATTAGGAGTGGATTACATTTTCAAACAAAAATACAAAGCGTAATGTGCATTTACTCACAATGCAAAAAATTAATAAAATGCGCTGCTTTTTCTCACAACGCAAACAATTAATAAAAGTTGTCGCATTTTCACACAACACAATTTATAAAACATGCTGCATTTTCTCACAATGCAAACATTTTAAGAAAATGCGTTGCATTTTCTGACAACACAACTGAAATGTTTAAGGAGAACCTAAAACATGTTTTTTAGGCTATTAAGGTACACGTACAACTTCACAGAACAATAATAACGGCACAGCGGTGTCTGTCATGTTTTTGGGTCCCCTTGAAAAATTAACATTGTGTTCCATTCTTTTTCTGTTGTGAGAAAATTGTATTAATTGTTTGCTTTGTGTGGACATCTCGCAGCACATCTTTAAAAAATGTGTTTGCGTTGTGACAATTTGCAGCATGTGTGCTGTCAAACAGATAAAGATCTTTTTCTCAATTTGCTGGTGTTTGCAATTGCATGTGTTTTTTTTTTTTATTGCAGCATGTTAAGCTCTCTCTCGGCCACTGTAAAAAAAATTATGTTTCAGCATTAATATGGATGTTAATCCAGAATCGCAATGTACTTGGCAAAATCATGACATGCTCACCAACTAGTCTAGCATGACTACACAAATTTTAGTCACAAGAACAGGGATTGATTTTTATGTTGTTGTAACTTAAAAAAATTAACTATTTCATGTTTAGTACACTGTTGTTATGTACACATACACCTAATCTGATGTGAGTAGTGTTTTTTAAAAAGATGGAAGTAGTTTTTCAACTTCAAAATGTTGACATTTCTTTCTAATAATTTGTTTCTGTGTTACAATTCACCTATAATGTTTTTCACTACACTTGGTTAATATATAAAGACTAATCAATTTAAATGTAAACTTTATATTTAGACCATACAGTGTTGTGTTAATTTTAAATTTAGACAAAACATAGAATACCCTAGTTGTGGACAAATCACACATTTCACCTGTGGAAGCACTATTAAGTTCAGTTGAAAGCATTTAGATATCTCAGGTATGTAGTTCCTCAACCCCCCTAGAACCGAGAAGGCAATTTTAAGCTCTTATCAGCCTGCTGTATTTGGTCTGGGCGGTGCAGAGGGCTCTTTGGGGGACATTACAAACCATGCTCACTCTTTATAACCCTCCTGTTTGCCAAGTGATCCCACCCAATCCAAAAAAAAGCTTACCTCCATTCGCAGGCCTGCATCTAATGAGTGTAGAACTGAGCAGCTGGCCAGCACCTTTATCAGGTGTGCCTATTTGTCGGCAAGTAGGTCATGGCAGGGTCACTTGCCTCTCTCATGTCCAAAGAAAGAGCAAAAACACCTAAGCAATACGAGAAGAAAAACTTTTGTTACAATGGAAATGAATGCAAAGGGATGAGGTATATATTTATTCAGGTGTGGCTGATAAGGAAATTCTGCAGATTTTGTTCACTTATGTGTCCACTTCCTCTTTCGCTCTTTATTTCTCACAGTGTCCACTACAGGCCTGGTGAATGTATACACCTGACTTCTTCGATGCCAAGCAACAGGAGCACATTGTCCCAACCTCCATTCCCCTTCATCGCACCTATATCCATGGCAACCCATAATATGTGCGAGCGGCACGCTGGATGATCAGTGGGTCAATAAACCACGAGCTGAAGGCAGGACTGATGAGAATGAACACTGTTGGGGTGTTTGGGTTCACAGTTGGGTGACTAGAAGTCTGGCTCGGATGATCAACATGGCGCCCAATTTAGTGACAGTATTTTACTTCTCATTGATGGACAAACTAAATTAAGGAACGCACATGATCCATATGAACAAACAAATACGAAACGCATACAACACAGTCAGATGAAGATGCAAAGATGGAGCGGGAAGACCTGGAATCCAGGAATAAGAGCACAAAATGTGTGTGTATGTAAAACTTTACAATCAAACTGTGTGGATCCAATGACAATCAGACAATGTTAGACGCATCGTTAATGTAAAATAACCGATGCAAAGACGTCTTCCTTGAGATATCAATGCTTAGAAAATGTTCTGTACAGTTGGGTGTAAATACGAGCAATTACTATATCATTATTATTATTATTATTATTTCATTACTATGAAGGATGTAAATATTCAGTTTTATCTGTCTAAACATGTAAACTGTGATTGTGAATGTGACAATCTAAGGAACAGGCATGATGTATTGGAATATGCAGTGTGTCAGAGAGAAGGATTTCAAAACTTTTCAGAAAGCTTCGTTGACGTCAGATCTTAAAAGAGAGATAAATGTAAAAGCACATTCAACAAAACGTTGAACCTATTGATCCTTCTGTAAGCCTTGTTTTAAAATAGACACTGTTGTCAATGTTGACTGCCATTAGTGTGGCGTCAGATAGATAAGAGTCATCTTTCTGTGCCAGCCAAAGAAATACTGAATTAAGAAGTGGTCGATCGGAGAGACTCAGAGATAACTCTATCTGTAAAGAAGTTCACAGTTTTTGTGATACTGGGAAGAACGGCCATGAATCATGACATCTCTAATTTAAATATTGACCTTCAGTCAAACTGTCATTGTGATGGTGGGGAGATATCTGAAGAAAAGAGCGTCCTGTTGAATTGGTCAGCGTAATTGTTATCAGCTGGAATTTCAGAAGTTGAGGAAATCGAATCAGTTCGCCACTTCAAACAGTATTAGCTGCTCACGCAACCCTGAACTACCAGAAAGCATTGTGAAATAGTTTTTACTGTGGCTTTTTTTTTTACATTTAGGCCCAATCCCAATTCTACCCCTTAGCCCTTTCCCTTACTCCTAACCCTCGTTTTGCGTGTTCATGTGAAGGGGTAGAGGTGTCCAAATTCTCTTTGGCTTGAAGACATAGGGCTAATGGGAAGGGCTAGATACCCCCTGAAACAGATTTTTCAGGACCACACTTGAAACCAAGGGGTAAGAAAATTTCCCAGAATACACAATCTACACGGAAATAAGAAGATGGATAAATCAGTATTTTTTTGTCATTATTTCAAATTTGTACAACAAACAAGCACATGTGTTAATATATTCATAGCCGCATTCGTGTTTTACCATTATGCTTTAAAAAAAACCGCTAAAATAAAACACGTTAAATTTGGCTATAATCTATAATCCCTAACAATAGCTTCTGTTTAGCAGTCCCACAACATTCAGACACTCGATGACACTGGAATACCCAGTCAGAAAAGTCTAGTGGCTGGGAATGAGCTTTTTACAGTGTCTGCTGTAATGTTAATGTTGTTTTGTGTGTTTACATTGATGAAAATGGGCAGGGTGTAAATGCACAGTACAGTTACGATCTTATTACCACATTAGATTGTTATGATAACACGATATCTTTGCCTTCGGTGATTTCCTCTAGTTAAATACCCACAAATAACGCAACTGGAAGAACTACAGCAGTCACGATCGTTGATCTCATATGAAGCAAGAGATCGCGATGACATCTGATGATGTGTGCAGGTGCTGTAGTACTGTCCCATTTCTTAGGGGTAAAATTTAAAACCCTTCCCATTCACACAGGGGTTGCCACAGCGGAATGAACCGTAAACTTATCCAGCATATGTTTTACACAGCAAATGCTCTTCCAGCCGCAATCTAGTACTGAGAGTTTGAATTCTTGTCAAAAGGTCATTTCAATGTTTTTTTTGTTATGTTGTAACTATGTTCCCACTGCCATTGCTGGTTTATTCTCCTGTTAAATGCTGGATTTATACAAGATGTGATTTGTTCCACATTGTATTATTTTTGTACAAAATGAAATCAATCTTTTAAAAATCACTATTTATGCTTTACGGAAAAAAGGTTTCGAGTAAAGTTTTTTCCTCAAGATTGATAACAGTGGTTCTGTATTCCTTATGTATTTCCTCATACTAAATATCACGGTCTAGTATTTGCCAAGCTATTATAAGATTTTACTCCACTTTTTACACAATATCGTTTTTATGACATGGGTGTAAGGAATGCGTTTATATTTTATAAAGCGCTTATTATCTCATTGTAAACTTTATATATTGCACAACAATCAGGTTCTGTAAGAACTGTCTATTTTTACCATAAAAAATTGATATTTAACAATTTCTGATGAATAGGGCTCAAGTCCTGAAATGCACCCTTTTTACTTTTATTTATTTTTTATTTATTTATCTATTCTAATATCACTGAATCTTTTTTATTTTAAATAAATGCAATTTCTAAATTTAAAATAATTAGTTTTCTTAAAATGAATTTACAACTAAAAATTATAAATATTTTTTTTTTTTAATTATATGGACTGCTCCATGATGGATATTTTATTTTGTAATATTATTATTACTATTACAAAACATTATATTATTATAATATTATTATATTCGACTGTATATAATAATATTATATATTATATATATTATATATGTTATATATTATTATTATATTATAGTATATATAATATATTATACTCTCTCTTGATCTCTCAGAGAAAACTATGTTATATACAGTTTATAGGTATAATTTATACTTCTAGATATTTATTGGGGGGGCACAATATATTGGTACCTACTGAGTCAGAGAAAGACCACAGACACATACATCGCGAAATGAGGAGGGTTTTTTTCTATATGGTGTGCAGTATTAAATTCCATTTAAACAACACTCTTCCAGCAGTCCTTACTCGCATGCAATATCTCGTTTGTCACAGGGGCATGCATGAAATGTTTTTAAATGAAAGTGAAAGTGCCAAACTGCAGTTAAAGTAAAAAAAAAATAAAAAAGAAACATCTGAAATTACATGAAAATACAGAGGAAATGTGAATAGCGTGATGACGCAATATCATTAATCAAAAGATGTGCTATAACATGTAAACCAGGATTATGAATGGAACATTCAAAAAGCGACTCATGTAAACACCTTAATCATATTATTGTCATTCAGATTAAGGTAAATAATTTGATTACTGATGTCCTTGTAACATAATCAGTACATTAATTCAACTTATTTTTAAAACAATCATGATTGTGTAATTCACAAAAACTTCATTACCGCCGACGAGCTCTCTCAGAAATTGTAAATATTTAAAAATAGGCACTATCCTTATAAGTAAACTCCATAGTTGCCATCTAAACAACTACATTCTTGACTAAAAAAAGCCTCAAAAGTACATTATGTTGTCTAACAGCAGTAATATTTGTCAGACTTTAGAGTGTCTCTCTGCTTGTTGCTGACTGTATGTTGGCGGAGTAATACACAAAGGTGAAGAGGCCTTTGTGTGATGTTACTGACAAAATATTGCACGACTACCAGCCAATCAGATTCAAGAACCAGACAGAACTGTTGTATGTATAAATAAATAAATAAATAAATAAATAAATAAATATTTATATGTAGACAGACAGACCCAGTGATTAGGTACAACATTTCTTTCTCAACCACTGGGTTTGTCCATATTTTACCCAATTCTGGGTTAAAACGACCCAGCATTTTAAAGTGTGGATTTGTTACAAGGCAGTTGATCTAAATCAAATCAGGCTCTAAATATAGCAACAAAGTCATTAAATGTGCAATGCAGCATGAGTAGATCATACAAAAATCCATGAGTTAGCTCCTACATAAATAGTTTTCATTGTGTTGCGGTGTCAGAATTAAGGGTGGGTAAAATGCTGGGTATTTCAAATATGTGGTGTTGTATTTTGTTCAGGAGCGTGAGAGAGAATGAGGTGCAGGTCTGGAAGAAAACCTCCCTGTTGCTCTTTGTTTTCCTCCTACAGGTCTGAAACAACAATTTTCAAAATTCCCCTCTCAAGCTATTGCTAAACTGGAAGATTGAGTGGCACATTGTTGATAGAACCAAAACACATGCCAATATTAAACAGTTAGGATAACCACTTTGTTGCTGTTAGTGCACTGTAATACCCAAAAGGTTAAGGTAACAAACTATTTGAGGAAACGGATTGCAACAAACCATTTAAGTTGAAATACTAATCCTAATGAGTACTGTGAACTTACTCCATTTGAGTTGAAGTACTGAGGTATTTAATTAACTCATTACCTTCAACGCTGAACTCAAAACTCTTTTCAATTGAGTAGAATTGACTTTCAGTAAATTTTGAGTTAACTACACTCATTTCATTTGATAAAGTTGAATGTTTACAGTGTGGACACTGAAGACAATATGCTGTTGCTGCTGCAATTCAGTGGATGCGGTTTTATTTAATGAATGAATTAACTCTCTATATCTTGTCAGACTTCATGACGAAGATTTATTCTAAATTTATGCCAAAATGAATAAATAAAAAAACTTAATGGGCGTTTAGGAATATTCACACAATATTTACACCAGCCTTTTAACGGGCTATTTTCTGCCTCCTGTACTGTAAAAAATGGTAACACTTATGTTTTTATGTTAATAAAATTTTACCAACAAAAAATACAAAAAAATATATAAAAATGAATAACTTTACTAAGTTAATTATTTTTCAACGTAATTTTTAAAGTTATACAAGCTGTTTTAAATCAGTTTAATGTAAGTTAAATTGACTCAATTTAAAAATCGGTAACACTTTATTTTGATGGTCCCTATTGCACCTCTTGTTGACTAAAAGTTGCAATGCAACTATGCCAGTTACTTTTTATTTGAGTATTAGTTGACTGTCTGCTTAATATCTTTTGAGACTGCTCCTTCAACACATTTAACTGACTATAAGAAACAAGAACATGTCAACCCTAACCCTAACCCTAACCCTAACCCCAACCTAACAGTCTACTTATAATCTAATGAGAATTAGTTGGCATGTCGATGCAATGTAACTTAAATTCAACAAAATGCATTAAAGGGACTCAAAATAAAGTGATAACTAAAAATTCAAGGCAACCATTTTTACAGTATGACCCATTGTTTTTGAGAACTGATATTTCATTACTATACCTCGGATTATTCATTTGCTAAGGATACGATTCTTAAAATAACATTTGGTAAAAAAAGATGGAGGTGGAAATGAAGTTTAAATGGAAATGATGAAATGATTTTAAAATAATTGAAAACAAACACTATATATCTAAAATTATGTTCTGAACATCAGCATTGAACAACTGGAATTAAAACACACATTGCTTCTTATAAAAAAAAGTGACAATAAATAAGTTGCACTTTTAGAAACAAAACAAATAATTGTCAGTGTTTTTCATATTAAAAATAAAAAATAAGCACTATCTCTTCTAGATAAAATAACTAATAAAAACATTTTAAACTTTCTTGCATCCTCTGTAAACAAATGTTTTAATTTAAATGAAATTTTAATGTAATGGAAAATATGCCGTCTCAAGGCATCTCCGGCGCAGCTTTCTAATCATCGTCAATGTAGTGCAAAGTAACACAAAAGTAACAAATACAGCAGGGTCATGTGACTCCACATGCGGTAAGATAAGTGATTGAAAAAATTTACTTGGAAAAATGTGATCGATTAATGGTTCTGAATGTCGATTTTGATTATTTTTTGATTAATTGTTCAGCCCTACAGTAGAGATTAAAATGACAGAGCGATATAAGCACTTTTTAATATCGCAATTTTTTTTTTAACTTAAAGGACTTTTAGTTGTTGCCATGCAAGTAAATCATTATTTTAAAAAATAACTAACATTTTGATTGTTTCTGCTGATGAAAGTTTGGTCACTGCAAGGCTTTCAGTCCAAATTCTCAACCAGCCTTTTTTAAGATTAAAAATCAAAATAGTTTGTGCTTAATTTAGTATTTGTTTATGAAAATATGAAAGGTTTAAAATTAGTCATATTTTGAAAAATATTTCTTCAACTTTTCACACTCTAATTCTATTCAATCTAATACTCTATTTAATTCACGCTTTGTTTAAATTATTTCTTATCCAACCTTTAATACCTTTTATATTTCATATCCTGTGCATGTTCATACTAGGTTACAGCTAGAAAGGCATCCGCTGCGTACAACATTTGTCGGAATAGTTGGTGGTTCATTCCGCTGTGGCAACCCCCTCATAAATAAGAGACTAAGCTAAAGGAAAATGAATTAATTTCTTTTTTTGTAAGATGTTTGGAAATTAATTCTTTTTGAAAATGATTTTTTGTTTCTGTTAAATTAATGAACTAAATATACAAGCATAACAATAAATCAAGTAAACAGTCTGCTGGTCATAAAATAAACCAACCAATAGCACATAAACAATCACTCTAGACACCCGGAAGCAGATTTGGACTAATTATTTCAGCTTGAGTATCAGCTTAATTACACTTATTGTGACTTTAAAACTTTGTTCTGGGCTGTTTTTTTTTTTTTTTTTTTTTTTTAATGTGTCTTAAAGAGAATGTCCTGCTGGGTCTACACTTGTAACCCAATGATGTGGCTCTGTTTGGTTATCAATGAGGCCTTTGATTTTGCTCCCAGGGAGCCACTAAAGATCTGACTGCTGCCCTCTTTTACTGCACCGGCCTGCTGAAAAGAGGAGAGAGAGAGAGAGAGAGAGAGAGAGAGAGAGAGGAGAGAGAGAGAGAGAGAGAGAGAGAGAGAGAGAGAGAGAGAGAGAGAGAGAGAGAGAGAGAGAGAAGCAGTGCTTATTAGCATCCTGAGGAGGTGCTGAGTTAACAAGAGAGCCAACAATAATGATTATAACCATTAGTTCAATTCAAGGGCCCGCTGTAAATGTTGGGCTGTAATTCTCATACTTTAACAAGACTAATGGCAAGAACACAATCAAGCGCTGATATTGATTAAATAATGTAGGATTAATAATGTTTTAAGTGATGTGTTTTGTGGTAATAAAACAATTATTGCACTTAAAAAACATTACAGATACCTTAGAATGATTCATGAAAGGTCATATGACACTTAAGTC